TAAACCCTTACAAAGCGTCCAACTACTGAACCACACCACCCACCCAACGCACCGGCCTGGTGAGCTCTTAATGGCTTTGCCTGTTTCCAGCCTGGTCAACTATGGCCCAGCTGGCATGGCCAATGCTCCTCATACGGTTTCCACGCCCAGGCAGCACGCTTGCTGTGACCAGCAGCACCGGTTTCCTTGAAGGCAGAGTTTTCTGTGCAGTCCCTTGTTCCTTTCCTTCGGCAGCTTCAGAATTAGATCCCCCCCTCCTCTTTGCAATTCCCACCCGTTTGGCCTAACGAGGCTGGAATCTGCAAGGGAGGAGATGGAATGGCACATACTGGACACCCAAATGGAGAAATCCGAGTTGACGTGCAGAGTAGCCGCAACTAGCACATGATTTATTGATTACACCTTGCTCTGACAGCCCCACCACTAGCACAAGTGTGTGTGTGTGTGTGTGTGTGTGTGTGTCTACGTGCATGCATGCAGGCTTTTAAACACACAAAGTGGAGAACGGGAAAAAAAATCATGACCCTTTCGAGCAAAGCACGAGAGGTTTTGTTGTCGTGGCAATGACTTACCTGTTCAGAGCTGGAGGGACTTGAGAATAATGCTTTGTGCTTCTGTGGGTCTTTCGCACGGAGATTTTAAAGATTTGCAAATCTGCTTTCATCTCGGTAATCCCTCCGTGCCTTGTGGGAAGGAGGCGGCGTTCTGCCTCTTTTTAAGATGGGGAAACTGAGGCACGATGCACTGTTTTTTGCAAGCATGCCCTGGCAAGAGCAGTGCGGGCTACTCGTGTTGCAATCCAGTGCATCTGCCTGTGTGATCTCCCCACCCAAGGGTATGTGCCTTAGCGCCCAAGGGTATATGCCTTAGTGAAGGCCATGCAGAGACTTCGTGGCAGAGCTGAGGCCAATAAGGAAAAAACTGGACTTGCTGTCTCCTGCTCTAACCAGTGAACGCCAGTGCTGTGACTGCCCTTCCCTGAGCAGGGCTTATATCGTTTTGGTGCTGCAAATACGGATGCAACAGTCTGTTCTGCCCAGGCTCAAAACAGTAGCTCTTCACACCCTCGTTGGGACAGCAATACCCGGATCTGGATTCGCGGCCCTCCTGGCCTCCTCTGTGCCCCAAAGGGGTTGAAACTTGTGAGAAATATTTAGTCTGCACCAAAGAGCTGATCAAGTCGGGTCCTTCAGCTCACCTACTCCCCAAGCTGCTTTCTTTATGGCCGTATAGGAGCAATTCCCCAGGGTTTTCTGTATTAACCCTTTCTCTTGGGCTTACTCCCCCACTTTTACATGGTTGCCTGATCCAAAGGCCTTGACATTGCAGGGCGGGAAAGGGGTGGAGGCAAGGGGCTGGGCTCTGAAGGTGTTTGTGTTTAAAGGGACAAAAATGCAAATACCTCAAACTTGCTCATCAGGCTTCTGAGATTTTTCAGGTAAACAGGCCTGTATTTACTTTCACAAGCCTTCCTCCGAGCTGTTTATGTGGAGCACGGCTATCTTTAATTTGGCGTAAAAAATGTGCAGGCTGGAATTTAACCTTGGGCAGGAACTCTGTGCGTGTATGTGTGTGTGCGTGGAGGCGCGCATTTTTTTAGGAAGTTGTCTTTGTCAGGGTGATATTGCAAATCTGGATTTTCCAGTTCCTAGAGGCTTCTGCTTGTTTAAATTAGTAGCAGATAGAGGAGGTGAATTGAAAGAAGGGCAGAGCAAAGACACGGACTCCTGCAGCTAACCTCAAAACTTCTTTCTGGGTGTCTCCTGCTGAGTAAATACTGTAAGATCTCCCAGGCGCAGCTCTTAATATCTCCTGTAACATGCCCTGCTCACCCACCTCTTCATCAGAACGGCAAGAGCAGTTGTGAATATTTTTCCATTTTAAAATTGGTTTTGTATGCATATTAAAATACCTGCAGCTGTTGTGAGCCGGGGTAGAAAGAAAAACCTTTGAAAGCCAGCTAGATATATAAAATCTTTATATAGCGCTCACTCTGTCTCGCATACACATCCAAGGATATATTCTTGACTTAACTGACAGGCAGTTCAGGAGAAGAAAAATCCAATTCACTGCGATGACATAAAACTCTTGTCATTCAGTGGCAAGAATTCCCATTTGACTGGACATATAATTGTTTTAAACTTTCATATTCAAGGCTATAATAACCTTGAGCTCTACCGGGACTGAGAATTTGGGTAGGGGTGGGTTGTTTTTTTCAACAAAAAAAAATGTCTCTGCTAAATGAAAGTGGATTTTATTCCTGCTTAAAGGTGTCATTGCATTTTCCTAGCATAAGACCAGATTTAAGAATGGGAGGCGATGTCAGTATCCTAAGACTTCCAGCAGTAATTATAGTTTGGGAATTTAGGTGCATGATATTTTTCTTTACGTCTTGGGGTGTGGGGGGCGTTGTTTGCTGGATTTCTGATCCAGGATGAAAATCTTATTGGTTGAAAAATAAAAATCTCTCGACTATTCTGTGTCTGCCTGGCCATAGCTAGGGCAAGAAACTTATTCTTGTCCTTCTCGAGAGAGAATAGCACTGTGTACAGAGCACTATATTGTTTCAGAAGATGATGTCAGTCTGAGCCGAGTCCAAATGTTTAACAGGAATTGCATACTCTAACTTTAGCAACATATCTTCAAAAGCGTCGGATCAGACATCCACAGAATAGATCAGGAAAGACAGATGGATCTGTCTGGGTGAGGGTTTTTACACTGGATCTCCAGCGTTCCCGTAATTAGTATTGTACAATTTTTTTTCCAAGCGCTACTGCTCCGGCATACAGCTGAATGACAGAAAGCTGATCTTTGATTTCTTGGGCAGGGATTATGGCTTCTGCAGCTTTCGGTAAAAAAAACCCAGCAGTAGCTGCCCATGTAAGTGCATTTAATTCTCTTCCCTATGTAAACACGGGGATCCATAAAGGAGATCTTGACTGGTGAGCTCACACTTGACCTTTTTTTCACCAATGAGGAGAGTGCATGGCAGAAAATCCCTCCCTTGGTGCTGATCAACTGGTGAGTTCTCCAGACCCCCGAGGCAACGACCGAGGGTCCCTTGCATATTGAGTGATATTTAAAATAAACCTGGAATTCTTACCTAGATCATCTGTTAAAATGTTAATCTGTTTAAATCCTATTCCTGTAAAACTTCTCTGGTAGTCAGTGAGTGCAGGCACATTGCAGGAAAAGCCCAATTGGGGAATATTTTTTTGAAGCATACTGTTATTTTTTTGTGTTGATCATCAAATCTGATTTACAGCCAGCTTTGTCAGTGCCACTAGTGATGTGGGGGGAAGAAACTGGGACTGCCAGAGCTGAGCCCTAACCCAGCATTTTGATGAGAGAGTGGATTTTTGTGTTTTGCTCTCAAGAGCGGGTATGCACCTCTGAATCCTGCCAGCAGCTTTTCATAAACCGGACCTTGAGCTGACACTGGTGCTGCAGCCAGCCCTGGATAAGGTGGCTTTACCAAGGCATCCTTGTACCTTGAACTTAGAATTAAGAGTCTAGAGGGAATTTTAGCTATAACCCCAGCCTCTCTCAGCTGATCCCTTCTTCTTTGCCTTATTGATCTGTTTTGGCCAGAGATGCTCAATAAAAAGGCACCTAATCTCGCTGCTCGATGTGGTTCCCACTCCAGCAACAGCAGGGTTGTTGGGTTTTTTTTTCTTTGCTTTTTTTTTTTTTTTAAATCTTTAAACATTTTTCCTCATGCTTTTAATTGCCTTTGAATGCGTGTGTGGTTTTTTTTTCTAGCCTGCACTCTCCGTTTGTGCTCATCATCAGCTTTTCCTTTTAATATACACAGTGTTCATCCTTGCAGAACTCAGTGGGGCCAAGGGGCCGAGGTGCTGGATTTAATCAGCCGGTATTTATAGAGAAAACGCGCCTTTTGTCATTAATCTTATTCCAG